CAATTAAACAAATAATCACATCTCAAAATAAAATTCTACTCAAAAATCAGAAAAATGTCCAACCAAAATTATATTCAAATATTAGAATTAAAAACTAGTATCCATGATTTTTTGTGGAATTTTTGAATTAAAGGAAATATTAAAATAAAATCAAACAAACAATTAAACAATTTAAACTACTATTTAAAGGGAAAATGCAAACCCTAGCCAAAAGTCATAAAAAGGTCAAAACAAAATTATATTCAGACACTATGATTAAAAATAAACTTATATGATTTTTTTGAGGATTTTTGGATTAAGAAAAATATTAAAATAAAATTGTGAAACAAAAAAAATCAAATAAAACTCCCAAATTAATCTTCTAATAAAAAAATAGGAAAAAATACCAAACAAATTTCAGAATTAAATTCTAAATAATTTTAAGAGTTCAAAACATTTTTTGTGAAATTTGTAGATCAAAGAAATATTAAAACAAAAATAAACATTAAACAAATAATTAAATAATAACACAAATTTGTAAACCAATCAAAACATTTTCAAAAATTATTCAAAAAATACACAAGGTCAGAAATATTATTTTTAGGTTTCGTGAATTTTTTCATAATTTTTCAACCATTTTTGAGCAAGAAATAAAATCATGAAAATCAGGTTATGAAACAAAATTCAAATAAATTAAAAAAACTAAATCAGCCAACCAGAGGAGGCCACACCATCATCTTCAACCTCTGGCTAGGGCAAAAATGCGCGCAAGACCAGATCCACCACCTCATGTTCTAATCAACAAAGCATGCTCAATTCTACACCATTTTTCATGAAATTTTGTGCAAAGCAAAGCTAGAAACAATATCTACATTATGCTATTTGAATCACATCAATTAATTAACCATAGATCAAGAACGGATCGCATGAAAATGACAAAAACTCACTGAGCAGAAAATTTCAGATGCATCATACATGCACATCTCATCAAATCAAAAGCTCTGAAGCTATAGAAACACTTAATGAACCTCAAACAACATGAATACAAGCTCAAATCACACAATGCACAGCTAGAAATCAAGATCCAAAGTTAAGAATTCTAACCTTTGAGGCAAAAACAAATCTACTGTCTCCTTCACTCTAGTTGCAAACCAAGCCTCGATCTACAATCCTTATCACTTGGAGAAGAGAATGCAAGAAGAAATACTCAAAACGCGCAAGTAAATTGAGAGAATCAAAGAAATTTGCAGAATAAGTGGCTATGGAGTTTTTTGAGCTCGGGATGAAATGAAGCACCAATGAGGCTCAATGAAGCTTGTCTCTCAATATATAGAGCATGAAGAGGAGGGTAGGATAGGCTTTTCACACTGAAAACCGTTAGAAAGAATGAATTCCAATTTTTGCAAAAGTGAAGGGTGCACATGAAGCACTAAAATCCCTCGTGCATTCTCCATCCTTTTACGTGCATTTTAGTTCTTTTCATCTCAGGAAGAGGTTAACAAAATATCAAGGCTTAATTCCTTGTATTAACCAAGTGTTGGTGATTAGGCATTTTCATGCCACTTTTTGCAAAACCACGAATTGCCCTTGAATTTGCCCATGTGCAGCTCAAACTTTGGCATGATGGGCCTTAGTACATTGCAAATGAGCCATGGGCCAAGTTTTAAGTGAAACAAAGGGCCACAAATCAGGTTATCAAGAATTTGCAAATTGCTTGCTTGGTCAAAATTCAATGAAATGCCTCAAAATTCCAAAGCTCATAACTTGCTCATATTTTTGAATTTGGACATAAATGAGTACAATTTGGAAAGGTATTGAAAAGATATACAATCCCTTAGTTTTTAGTTTTTGCAATTGAATCCATTAAGGTCCTCAAAATTTGACATGAAATTCACTAAATTTGGAAAATGACCTATAATTTTAACTTGAGGCATGAACTTCCAAAGACCATAATTCTTGACTCTTTGTCAATTTGGACATGAGACAAAAAGGAGATGAAAGATCACCCTCTTATCTTTCCAAGCATATTTCATTTGCAATTTTTTGATCAAAGGTGAATAAAATATGAAATTTTGAAGTTAAGTCCTTATTTTCCAAAATTAGAAACTTTTAGGGTTTCTTCATGAACAAGTTTCAACCCAAACCTCAATCTTTTTTATAAAATGATCAAAATGGACTTGAAATATGAAAAGTACATCCTTGAATTGATGGTTGACCAAAAGTTCACTTGGTCAATCTTGACTTTGACTGATTTTGACCAAAATGACCATTTTGCCCCCTTTGAATCAATTGATCCACTTCCCTTCAAAATTGATGATCAAAACTTCAAACATATGATCTTCCAAATATATAGAGGCCATGTACAAATTTTCACTTCAAAATTCTCAAGAAATCTTGATGAAATCCCAAACCCTAGTTTTGGTTAACCCCTTAGGAGACTAATGAATCATCTCCAAAATTTCAAATCCTCTGAGCATCTTGACCAATTTCTTGTACAAAGACTTTTCAAATACCAATGAGATGTTGTAGCTTCCAAATCAAGACTTGTACATTGATCAATAGCCTTGATCAAGCAAAACCCTAATTTTGACTGGTGAATCAAAAGAGAGATTCCTCTTATAATCAATCACAAACTTCAATCCTATGATGATCCAAAGAGATGGATAAAATATCTTAAGATATGCAATAACTTTTGAGCTTGAAAGATCCAGAGGTTTAGATGATAAGATTCTACTTGAGCAACTTGTCAATGCAATCAACCTTCAAAGCTTGAGGAAGACTTGATAACCAAAGTATTTTGATCCCATCACAATGTATGAATGCAATGCAATATGATATTCATGATGAAACATAAGCCTAAATCAAGAGGGTAAATTTTGGGGTGCAACAATAGGCACCTCCTAGATATGAGAAATCACCATCTCACTTCCAATCACCACAATGATATCTAACAGTCCCAATCTCAGTGACTGTAACAAATACAACCCAATTTAGATGATTACACTTCAAATACAAAACTCAAACTCTTGCTTAAAAGATTTGAGTGAGAATAATAACTTGACTTTAAGTCAAGTAACAATCAATCGACCATATAGTATCCAAAGATACATGGGTGAGTTACAAACTACACAGGAGACTCTAAAAACCTAAGACTTATGATTCCCCTAATTTTACAATTATTGAAAACTTATATTACATTAGGTTATGATTCCACTTTAAATACAACTCTACAGTCCATAAGCTTCGATATTCTAAGTCCAGAAGTTTCTTAATCCTCAAGCTGAGTGATGCACCAATTGTGTAGTAAATCTCCTTTTATCTTTGAACAACCAATACAAAGTTTCCTAAATTGTCTCAAGGCCCAATTTAGTAACAAATGCATAGTTGGAGATACAAAACCTGTTCCAGATTAAATCTTCTTGACCTGCGAAATAAACTGAGATATATCCAAAAGAAATATCACAAAATCAATTCAAATCTGTCAAGATTTAAAATATCATTGTCTGCTGTACTGCAGTACCAGATCAAAATGTCATGACTGTCATACCTTAATTTTTACCCCTAATATGTTCATTCATAACATCATATGCATTTACATCATAAATCTTTCATTCATTTGAGATCTTAAAGCATGGTATCAAAAAGCTTTTGGCATTAGGGTTTTTCCTATGGATTAAGGTTGTTACCTTCCTCAAGTTGATTCAACTGGTTCTCTCATCACTCTTGGTACAAGACTAGGGTTTTGGATCACAAACAACGTGGACATCTTGCCTGACAAGATTCCTCAAGCTACAAAGTTATCTTCATTAAAAATTCTTCAAAGAATAAGTGCATTAGGGTTTAATTGATGAGCTTAAGGTTTTAACATGTCTTCCTCAACATATCAAGCCTTCTTCATCAGTTTTATCCTCAATGTTACGAGGATCATCATTCTTTCCTTATCGTAAGTTCATTATCATTTAAGGGTTTCTCCTATTTTGTGCCTGAGCATTGGCTTTGGTTATATTCAACCATGTTTTATTGAGCTAGGTTTCTGCCTCCAGGCTACCAGGATTACTAGTTTTTCCTCGTTTGGTATAATTCTTTATCATCTTAAGTATTCTCCTAGTTTGTGTTTAAGCTTGCGAATATTCATCAATAGAAGATCATGGTTGGGGTTGCATGTTAAGGCTATATTTTTATATGCTTCAAGTCTTTGTCTTCATCTATAATTCTTAAAAGCATTCCTTTTATGGACTTGAATAATGAATTGCTAAAAGAGTGAACATGATTTGAGGAAATCATTGTGTTCAATACATCTTAAATGGATTGGATTTGTTTGAAGTTTTGCAAAGTTGGAAAGTTCGTGTATTTAGATTTCTTGGAACCTAAGGTGGAATTTAAGGTGTGCCACAAATTCAAACATTTTTTATCCTTTCAAGTTCAAGCCTTAATATTCATTTTAACATCAAAATCATATGGATAACTTTGAGACATATATCATCATTGATTCAAGATTGCAAATTCAAAATTCAAGAATTATTCCATTCCAAATTCAATCTCAAAAAGAGTCCAACTATTCATATGATATTTCAAGTCTTTTTATTCAATTTCATACAAATATAGTTCAAGCTCCAAATGTCCTTCAAGAATGCAAGGTTATCCAAGGTTCAACATCATTCCATTTTTCAAGACATTATTCAAATTTCAATTCCAATTCAAGAACATTCAAAGTATACATCAAAATTAAGATCAAGGTTTCAAAGCATACACCATTATTCATTCAAGATTTCAAAGTTCATCATTTGAAGGCATGATTTGAAATCAAGTTCAAAATCCATCATGATTCGAGAGAATTTACAAGCGCATTATATTTCAAAGCTCACTCAAGTTCACTTGATTCATCATATCATTTATCACGGCTCAGTTTCCATCACTCATATTTGACAAAATTCATTAGAGTTTCAAGTCTCAACTATGTTCAAGATTCAATATTTTTCATTCAATTTTGGGGGACACGATTCATTTTCTGCAAAAGCTTCTCAGAGAAGCTTCAAAGTTCTCTCTAAAATTCTCTGAAACTTCTTGGCCTCCACGCTGAAATATAACTCGGAACGGAATCGAAGAGCTGATGGAGCGAAGGTCGAATTCGCGAACTGGTTGAGATGAGATGTAGCCGTGAATGATGAATCGCGTTTGAAGCGAAATGAAAAAGAATCGGTGGTGAGGAACGACGCGAGATGGTGAGACGTTGTTGTGAGCGGAAAACACGCGGAGAAGAAAGAATCGTTGATGCTCATGGCGCGAGTGATGAAGGTGGAGGCATTGAAGCCTGGATCTGCGGCGCTGTTTCGCCGGAGGAGATGATGACGATGGCTGGAATCGAAAGAGTGGATCCGCGACGGAGAGATGAGTCGCGTTGAAGTAAGATGAAGGCGCTGTATCACAAAAACGGACTCATGGATCATTCCGTTGGGCCTTTGGGCCATTTTCTGGGTCTTACACCTGTTGCTGGTTTGAACACCTTTGATTCTGATTTCACACCTCCATCTATTTTCTCATTCTTTTAATATTTCTCTTCCATCTTTAGTTATTGTAGTTTTATTTTCTTTTATTGATTTTAGGTATTAAAAAAATAATAAAAAGGATATATAAAAAAATACTTTAGTTTTTTTTAGAAGTATTTAGGATTTAATTAAATTTTATACCTCTTATTTCTTCATGTTTTTAATCTCTTTTTAAATCAAGTTTAACATCATGTTTTATGTGTTTTCTTTGTGTGATATTTATTAAATAAGATGCTTGAGTATTGAGATTTATTTTGTATTAATGCCATGCTCCTTTAGGATTTTATGAGACGATTAATCTCTCTTTTGATCATTTTATGTTGATTAGACTTTAGGATGTTGATACAAGCGTGATGACACTAAGATAGCTTTCCCTTTAACTCAACCTTCGAACCATTTGATATATTCTCCAAACCAAATTCTCTAACTCAGTCAAATCATCTTGTCTCTTTTGTGCACTTTTCTCTTTAAAATTTTCTCAAAAGATTAGACGCTTGCCAATCCTTGTAGTGATGCGAGCTACTATACTTCTATGATATGTAGTGAAGTAAGATATTTTCCACTTGGGTGTTGAGCGAGGCTTTGTTGATTTTAGAATCCAAGCCATATCCTCCACTTTGAGATGACGCAAATTCTCCTTTCTCATAATTGTGGGTAGTAAGTATGTTCTTCCACTCTGATAAGACGATGATGTCTCATCTCTTAAAATTAACCAACACACTTGTATTTTAAATTTTTTAAAGGTGAACTACGAGTACCTTTATCCTCTATTTCATGAAAGGTGATACATATGCACTAAAGGTTTGCAACCGCAGCGGGTGCATAAAATTGTAAAAAAATACTTCTCTTCTCATCCCCACAATCTATTTTTGTATACAACAATTATAGCCAAAATACACAAATTTTCAAAGAGGTTCATGCGGAGTACCGTGGATATTTAGGGTCCCAATACCTTCCCTTTGCATAACCAACCCCCGAACTTAGATTCTCTCCCCCTCTTTTTGGGTTATTCGCTCTTTTCTCATTCCTTTAGAAACAATAAAGCATGGTGGCGATTTTTATTTGATTTGTGCGGGTTAAGTTAACCCAATGGCTTAGTCTCAACATTTCTACTGCTACAATGAAATCTTCCTTCGACATCTGACTGAAAAACACATAATAGTAAAATTGTTATGACAATTGTTAAAGAATGTTGCACCATCTTAATCAACATCAATAGAACCAGGTTTTAGCAAAAATATGTCAACACCAAAATCATGGAACTAACAGTAACAAAAAAATGTAGCACAATTATTATGACATTAATATCAGTAAAGGTGAAAATAAAAATCACCGTAAATAGGTTGTTGTTTCCAATCAATTATCGAGTATTCCATATACTACCCTTAGCTAGTTTAGAGTAAAGATACACCAAACAAGAAATCCCCAATTATACTCATGAAACATCTCCAACTCAATGAAGTAGCTAAGGTAGATAATGTCGACATATGTCATACTTTTGTCTACCAAAATGGATGTGCCAACCAAAACTAGGATGTATGAACTAAATGTATGTGTTTTATGGTATGAAACCCATGCGTCATCACCCTTAACATCCATAGTTATAACCATGTGTTGCTCATACAAATCCACCGAGAATGAAAACCTATCATTGTATCCTTTGTTTTCATCTAACTCCTATTGAGTTTTTCCCGGGTGAGATCCTAAATAAGTCACCATCATGTCTATGGCCCCAGGTTTGCTGGTTCTGGAGTAGTTTAATAACTTTCTCTAGATCAAAAAATGAAAGAGGCATGAAACATCATCAAGTGTGATGGAGATCCCAATTATTGATAGATGAAACGAGATCCATGTGTGTCATCTCCCCACAAAAGTAGACTATAAGTCATGGTTAATATATCCATAACCAATCATGCATAAATATTATAATCCAGATAGTTGCATGACATCCTAAAACCATGGCTCATCAGGTTGTACCATCTTTGCAACTTCCTATTATGGTAAAGCATGTTGGGATACTCTACCATGTCTCAATCTTTGGTGGTTGTTAGACATGATTTCTGCAATCAAACAAGCACAACAGAAAGATGTCATAACTTGAAAATAGAAACAAGCCAAACCAAAAATCAGATAACATGATAACTCGAATTCCAATCTTCACACTAAGGGCACGAATTATATAATTCATAATGTATGTGAACCAGAGATACGAACTAGAGAACATAGCCTACAAACCCTAAACTTTAGTACTAAAAAACTCAATGCAAGGCAGTTCAGGACAAATGCAAAATGACATTTCTATTGAATTTATTCCTAAAGTATCATACCTATAATCTTTTTAGGTAATGCATGCATGTGAAATAAAAAAAGGAAAGAAAATAAATAACTTTCCAATGCAATGGAGAATAACTTCAAATAAGTGCAATGTAGTGGAGTAGAAGTGTGATAAACTTCGATGTAATGGATATAAGCTATGAGAAGGCTTTAAAATGAGGAGAATAGGATATGTAATCACAAATGAGGAGTACCTCTTCGTATTCTCTATTTTTCCTCTTTTGCATAATTGAAAATGTGAAAGGAGATGGAAAGATGAAAGTTTACTTAAGCAAAAGCTTTTGGATTCCAATCTCCGGATTAAATTCAGATTTTGGAATCCATAGTATTATTAAATTGTGCAGTCCTGAGGTTGGTCATGTGTGTGACGTAGGGGTGTTCGCGGTGCGATTTGGGCGGTTTTGAAGCAAAAAATCACCCGAACCGCAAGAGAAAAAAACATGCGGTTCGGTTTGGTTTGGTTGGCTTTTAAAAATAAATCCGAACCAAACCAAACCAAACTAATGCGGTTTGGATTGGTTCGGTTGGTTCGGTTTTTTATAAAAAAAATTATTAAGTCATACAAACAAATATAGAGGAAAATATAATTTTGTGTTTAATTGTTCGTACATTACCATAAAAAAATTTATAATTGTCAAAATAAGTTTATAATTTGATATATAAAATTGCGTATTATAATTTTATCTAAATCTAAAGAATGATATAACAAGATTGCATTCTTAAATAAATATTATACAAAGAATACCATAAAATATATTTTGTGAAAATAGTATTTATAAATGAATGATATTTTATTTTTTTATGATTTGTAAATTAAAATGAATATAATACAAAGTATGATAAAATATACACATAATACATGTTTATTTCTCTAAAGAATTAAAGAAATATATATTGGTTAGTAAGATTTTATAACATAATGCGGTTTTGTTTGGTTTGGTTCGGTTTGTAAAATACAAACCGCAAACCGAACCGAACCGTGCGGTTCCGCGAGAAAATGACCCAAACACATCCGAACCAAATGCGGTTTTTTGCGGTTTCGGTTTGGTTCGGTTCGGTTTTGCGGTTTTCTATTGGGCCGGTTTGGTTTTGAACACCCCTAGTGTGACGTGTTAGGCATGTTCGGATTCCAATCTCTAAATTTATTATACAAACTCCAATTTATGAAGTTTTTAATGTGTAGCTTTCGCGTGTTCCAGAGATGGTTTGTTGTGTATTAAATGTGTTTGGATTTTAAAATTCGGAATGGATGATTATTTTTAAAACTTTGACAAAATGTGTGCTCATGGTGTGTTACAAGTAATGTTTAATAATATTTCTATTTAAAATAAAGGGCCATGTTGGCGTAAAAAAGGTTGTGACAAAAATTCGATAATTTAACCTGCCACCCCATATGTTATACCTGACACCCCCACATATTTGCATATTGAAAAAAATGTCTCTGCTATTATTTACCAATCAAAAATTATATTTGGTAAAAAATTTACTTTTACTAAGCTATAATTTTAGAAATTTTTTGTAGTTAAAACAAAAAATTCTGATACGATTTTTTCGAATTTTGTGGAAAGTTTGCATTTATACCAGAAATATAAGAAAATACGGTGTATTCTGAAGAAAAAAACATGCAATTTTATCGGATATTTTGAAATTGCCGATGAAGAAATACCAGGAATTTTGAAAATTCTGGTAATTGTCTGAAAAAACAAAAACAAAATACTGGGAATTTTGAAATTCAGGTAAACATCTAAAATTATCGATTATTTCCAAAATTTTACTATACCAAAATTTTCGCATACATTCAAAATTTCTGGTAGTTGAAAATAATGCTTTACATGTGCGATCAAGAACCGAAAGACTCATCTACAGATTCATGTACTGATTATACATAATTCTTCACCATTAATGATGTATGTTTTATTTTTAACCTTTTCAAAATTTAAAGGTTTTCTCGTCTCTATGATATTGATAGTTTACACTTTATATGTTGTAAATTACTGATATTTTTGTCATGGTCTAAAGTATTAGCATGTGCATAATCCATTGGTAAACAACGAGATATTATTGTTGTCATTGTTCATTTTGATACCGCAAATGGGATGCAAGGGAGGAAAGATAAATTGATTATGGATTATAAGAGAGGAGGAAACTACAAAAGGAAGAATACATCTGAAAGCAATAATTCTGTAAGAACAAGATTTGGTTCTGCATTTGGCCTTGAGTTTTGATGATAATATTACATGGGTGATTAGATAACAATTTAGTACCCTAATGGTCTATTTCATGTGTAGCTTTTGCTAACAAGTTCTGACTCTAATAATTTGACATGTGACATCATCAGATCCTAGACTCAACATACTAAGAGATACAAGTGCGTGTGTCATTTATTAGAATGCTTCAAAAATAATGGTTCTGATGGACGTTAGTTTTAAAGCTTCTGACCGTGACTCTGATAGAAGAGCTTATGAAGGCTTCTCAAGCTCTAAATATTCCAAGCTCTCTCGCTCTAAGGTTTTGAAGACTCCGAAGACAATGTTTTGTTGAACAAGTTCTGAAGATTCTGAACACCAACGGTTCTGAAAACCCAGAAG